GATGCCCCATCTCACAATCAATCAAAACTGATAATAAAAATACCACCAAGATGTCACTTGACATCCATCAGAATGACAAACCTAAGAAGTCAGATAACACCAATTTACCTCATGCTCGGGAGGAAGCTGAGACCTGGGGACGTGTCCAAACACCCTGCCGCCCACACTCGCGCCCAGGGCCATACTCAGCTGTACCCTCCATATCCCAGAGACCTGCAAGAGGACCCAACAGTCACACTGCCAGGAAAAGCAAGGGTTTCACAGTGTCTTGTGGATGCTACAAACACGATGCTGTGTAGTTTCCACAAATTTCAGGACCCAAACGCACATCTGGATGGTGGGCTGGGAAGACCTCGATCAAATGCCAAGAAAACCAAGAGTGATGTGGGGTCGGGGTGGAGGGACTGGAGACACACCAGAGCAGGCAGGGATGATGCAAGTTAAGACCCTAAAGTGCTGGTGCTCAAATCAAACAGAGGAAAGGGGAGAAAACACCTAACCTGGAGCCCTCCTTTGTTCTGAAAGAGTCAGCCAAACCATTTCTGACTTACTTGGGAACCCACACAGCTCTCAAGTGTATAATAAGCCTGAGTGATTTGAGATTCACAGGGCAAGTACTAAGGAAAACGGTCTGAAGTTATTTCTCTTCACAAGCAAGTGGACGGGTGCTAGTGAGCTGAAGCCAGCAGCCGCTCCACGTGACACATCACGCTGGGTACAGATCATGGGCCGCTGAGCGTGGCTGTGAACTGAGTGGCCTTGCGCACAGGCTGCTCTGATGATCACTCACCTGCAAGCCAGACTGAGAAGCCCTTCTCTGCTGGGGAAGCGGTTGCAGTGCTTCCGAACATCCAGGCATTCTCCAACAACTCGATCTTCTTGCTGAACTGCACTTCCAAAACGGGGATAACCTCTGGCATCTTGGCAGATATCAGACGATAAGCTATGTCTGGCTTCCCAATGAACCGCTGGCGGATGCTGACTTCATAAGGTGTGTGAACCTTGATGTCATCTACATGTTCTCTTTCAAATCTGTGCATGAGCAAGGAGTCTGAGTCGTGGATTTCCAACCCAGAAACAAGGACAGTGAACTTTCCTAGTTTAACCCGAGATTCTGTTCTTTGGGAAATAACAGCAGGAATTCTGATCACTATCCCTTCTTTTCCAAAAGCTTTGGATCTAGCCATGGAGGCGCCCGCACTGGGTTTTGTTTCTGATGGCACCTTCCAAAGCCTGGAGCTAAAGGGCCACCAAGAAGGAGATTCCAGCTCTGTCAGCAACTTAAAAAAACAAACGAAACATAGAAACTAGTCAATCAGTTGTTATTTGTTTATTTTTTTGAAAATTGCTTTGACTTCTATAAAGAATGTTACCATTTTACAGTTTTCTTTTTCACAAACACTCTTTTCCACCTCAGAAAGAGCAGAAATTATCATCCCTGTGCTTTAGAGAAGAAAACTAAGGCCAAGAGCAGTGGGACGTTTCGCCTGTTGATACACAGCTAATCCGAACTGCAGACACACAACTGAAACACACAGCTTCTGACTAGAATGTTGCTCTTTTCTCACTTGATCTGGGGTAATTCTGGCCAGAATAAATCTTGGTCTTAGTCTCTACAGAACTGTCTAATAGCACTTTCTGCAGTAATTTGTATTGCCTAATACAGTAATGGGAACATGTGGCTGCTGAG